GCGTAAGCACAATTATTCCAGATATTACAGGTTCCGACAAGTAAAGAATTTTTATAGTCCTGCCACAAATAAGCTATATATTGATTATTGACCATTTGTGACATGCTATAACGAGCAAAAATTAAAAAAAAACTAATAGGTAGGTTTAAAATTAATAAATACAAATGTATTCTGACAGTGAATGAGTTAATTATGCTTTCTATTTGCAAATTCCTCAACCTTAACGCAAAATAAAAAAAAGTGAATTTTTAAGAAATTTGCGGGATTTCCCGGGATATTTCCCGGGTTAAAAAAACAACCGGGATCCCGGAATCCCGTTTGAGAAACCCTAGCTTCCACTGTTGTTGTGTCCAGCATTGGTGTTCTTTGGATCACTTCAATTGATTTTTTGTATGTGTTTTTGTGAGAAGTGGCTTTTTGTTTAAAAATAAATCACATGTCACGATTGTTAAGTAAAAATATTATTTTCTTATCTGATAGAAGTTGTAACCAAGTTTGTGCAGATGAATACAAGTTTCTTTTGTAATTTACTTTTCAGTAACTTTATTCCATTCATTCACTAATTCATTGAGTGATACCCTTGATTTTTTTTTAATTATTTCACAAGTGTGTGATCAGTCTTTGTTATGGTTGCTGGCCTTCCAGTTGATTTGTTTGGATGAATTTTAGCAGTTTCCTGATTTTTTTGAAAAATAACCCATACTGTGGAATTACCAGTTTTTAGTTTGCAATTTTTCTTAAGGATTTGTCCTTGTCCTGTCTATGGAGATGATAATTATTTCATGTACATCAACACTTATAGCATTACCAGGAGCCATTTTCATTAAACAAATACAACTCAATAATGTTGGAGAAGAATATGCAAATATCACATCAACTCATTTACACATTTAGGGAGAGGTCATTTAATGTGCTGTCTGAGATATTTTGTTAGGAATGGCTCTATCCAAGCTTTCTTGAACTGTTCATAACTTTTTTTTTTACGTATTATCAGAATGAAAATTTTTTATGTAAAATCTTCAGTTATAATTATTTTATATTAGAAAACTTTTATTATAAGTGTACAAAACTTTTCTGTTTGATATTATTGAAAGATATGCTAGAAAATTCATGCATATGGTATTTGTTGTATTAAACCTTATGTTTCTGGCTAATTTTTTATAACATTCATTATTATTGACAAAACTGTCTTTCCATGATGACTCAGGATAATTTTTTCAAATTTGAAGTTATTACTTCTGTGGTCGTGTTAAAAAGATTAAAGGATAGACTCAAAAATGTATATTTTTGTTAATAGTCTTAACTTCAAATTTGAAGGAAGACTGTCTTGTTTATAAAATTGTACTGCCTGCTGTGTTACCAGCTTAGAGGTATGAAAGAGTACATGTCAGGAGTTGCAATTTGGCACAGAGTATTAAGTGTACAAATCATGCATGCATAAAGAAACCAGACTTGTAGGTACTCGGGACTGAGAACCAAATCAAAATAAAATACAAAATCATGATTATCTGAACAAACAGACAAACCGAAGTCAGGTGTGAGAGTACCATCCATAGTCGTTCTAGGAAGTGGACTCTGACCCTAGGACTGAACACGTAGTATTTTCTTTGTTAAATAAAATTTGTAATCTAATTTTGTAAATTTGGGGCCACTTCAAATATGACATTAAAATAAGGTTTTATGTCGTTACAAGTAGGTTTTTTAACATTATCTAGTATAGCAAAATTGTGGGACCGATAAAAATTTGACGTTATATTAGGGTATGTCGTTACATCCAATGACGTTATAATCGAGTTTAACTGTATATTGTTTGTGCAAAATAAAAAATAATTTCGCATGATACAATAGCCATGATTATTTTTTTCAAAAACGGGAAATTTTTCTTATACATTGACAAAAATTCAACCCGGGCCAACATGCAACGGAGAGAAATTTTGAAATTGAATTGGTTAATTACATTGAAAATGTATCGTGGAAGACCTTGTGGTCATTGCCGGCAAAGTTTGAACGATTGCGCCCAAAAGTAGCGATACAAAAAAAGATTGGAGAATGAGAACGAGACCTGCCTTGAGCATCAAAGTGATTTCACTTAGTAGTGAGTCTCTGAGACATCGTCTTGTCCCAAATACAGTTTTGCCATTTTACCTGTTTATTTTTAATATTTTATGTAATTGAATTGTTATTTTTTTTTTTAAAGTAACATTAATTTTGTTTTATATTTTATTTAGTGTTTTTGAAAAATTTAAGTCTTTGGATCCAGAAATCATCAGACAGAATAAACATGCCAGACTTCCCATAGAAACAGTTATGAAACTTTCAGAATTAAATGTAATATTTGAATTTTTTAATTAGTACTCAGAATATCTTTAATTAGCATTAATTTATATCAATATTTCTATAGAAAAGGTTATCAATATTCTTTCATAACTTTTTTTAAAGCTGATTGTGAGAAGAAAATTGTGTAGAATAATTTAAACATCAAATTTATGTGAAAAATATGATTGTATTTAACTGAATTGTTAGATTTTAGTTAACAGACAACTTAAAATGAATGGTTGGAAAACGCTTTATACTTTCAGATAATAGTCTAAAAATTATATTTATTTTGCAAAACATTTTTTGTGCATAAGTGCACACACATCGTCAAATCGTATTAACTTTCCATTAATATCTAATGTTATATGAAATTTAAACATATTAAAATTTTGTATTGAAATATAATAAAAAGTGAATGAGAACAATAGGAATTTACAGAAGTTTAAAGATCAGAATTGAACAGAATGTTATTTTCATATATTCTAATTTTTAAATAATCTATCTTATTGATATGCAGGCATATACCATATTTACTTGAATGTAATGCACCATCAGGTTTTAGTGTCTGAAAATAGTGTGCATGTTAGATTTGACATAATTAGTGATCTCTAGTGCCACACATCTTATTTCTTTGTAACTAATTCCATTTTGTCATTTTAATGACTTTATTACACCAATATTTGTAATACTTAGCTCAATCTCGTTAGTCTATTTTTTTTTTATGGAAGGTGGGGTACTCCTGGTATCACTCATAGATACGACCAGGAGGGGAAAAGAAATGAAGGAAGAGGGAGAGATGCGAAGGATAGGGGATGAAAGTGGGGGCAGCAAAAGGTGGGTTCCCATGGCGCTTGCATCGGATTTATTTATAAATAAACCAGAGTACAAAATAATATATAAAGATACAAATCAAAGTTAGTACATACAGCTATATACAGGGTTTGGCACAACAATAGTGAGAGAAAATACAGAATGGTAACGCAAATAGGATGTTAACAAAAATTAGAAGTTTACAACTATTTGGCACGATGACATAAAATAATGAATTACAACACAATGGTGAATGGTACAAACAAATTTACAATAAGAAACTTACTATTAAAGTATAACAGACAAATAATGAAGACAACCGCATGACAAGCAGTGGGGAGAACAAGCAAAGCAGTAATACAGATAAAACAGTAGCATGTAGAATGGTGAACAGTAACATAACATTATGATACAGAAAAGCCACAATGGCTGAGAGAGTCAGTAGGTAACAGTTCCTGGGTACAATGAAGAAACACTGTTGAAGAAAAGTCCACTCAATCAGGATTTTGAACACTGTCATTTGTGATGTGTAGACTGCTCGCTGGATTCAGTGCTGCTATCGTTGAGAGATAATCTGCCAGTTTATAAAAGTCCGTGTTTTCAAGGAAAACATTAAAAGGACAGGGCCAGTTGAAGCCAGCGTAGAGTACACTGCCAATAAGAATGTCACTGTTTTGGCTGAACAATGTACAATCAAAGAGGAAGTGACCACTCTCCTGGATGGAAGTGCCATCACATTGACAGATGTCATCTTCTTGAATACAAAACCTCTTTAAGTACGCCTTGAAGTTGCCATGACCAGTAAGCAACTGGGTCATGGTGAGAAGTGTCTCCACTGAAGGTGCTGAGTGATGTTAGGGATGAAGTTGAAAGTCGTTCTGCTGGTGTTGCTGCTATCCCATTCCTGTTGCCATTGGTGGATTGCAAGCTGGTAGTTCCAGTGCTTAATTTTAGAAGGTGGGATCTTGTTGTAACTAGATGGGAGGGAGGAGGCTGTTGGCGGCTTTGTTGCCTGCAACACCCAAATGGCCACGTACCCATTTAAAATGCACATTGTGATTGTGCGTATTTGAGGAAAGATGACGATTGATTTGAAGAACGTTATCGCCTCTTCTCCGGAGGCCCTTAGCAGAGTGGATGGCAGTGATGCTATCGGAATAAATTTGTTGTTGATGTAGGTTTCATATTCAGCTGGGTGATGTCTGCATATGTGGTAGCCGGGGCAGTCTGGGCTGCTGGCGAAGAACACTTGGGGTGGTTGGATTTAACGCAAGATGCCATGGAACTGGCTGAGGCATGCGAAAAGGCGGGAGACCCTGTCCCTAACTTCCTTCCGTTCCTCTATCCTGATGTTCGTGCTATACTTTTCAGGTAGTAAGTCCAAGATCTTCAGGAAATGCTGGTTTGCTTCTTTGAGGATAGTATCTTCTAAGGTGTCGATGATAACCCAGGAGTCGGGTGTTTCAACGTCAGTAGAGTTCTTAGGATGACTTGCAGTTGGCATAATTGATAAGTGTTAAGTGGCAAGACCAACCAGAAGAGTGGAGAGTAGGTGTAATTGGCAAGTTGGAAAAGCGCCTTTTGGCAAACGGACTCTGTCCTAGTAGACTAAGTCTAACTCAGACAGGGGAAGAAACCTGGTTGGTCGTGTAAAAACAGAGTACTCACCAGTATGTAGTAACCAATAACCAATATGGTGATCCACCAGTTGAATGACACTATCTTGTTGATACCTGAGAAAGGTTGCACGACGCACTATTGTTGGTACTTGAGGTGAGGTGACCCGACGCTCTATGTAAGGTGATGGGGAAAGTCTGTTCACACCAGCAAACCCTGTGATGCCTTCCTATATGGGCGATGGGAATATCCAAGGCAGCCAAGCTAGCTTGGCTGGTGTATCCACTAGCTGGCTGGCTAGGGGACTGGACTGCTCCTATAGCAGGTCCTCTAACCAAAAGTAGACAAGAATAAACACACAAAATACATACTAATAAAGTCACAAGAGGAAGGCAAGATGTCTGCTGTGGTTGTCTTCTGCCTTCGTTCCAGTTGGGGAAGGTAAGATGGCTGGCTACAGTTCTTAATTTTTTAAGAATTAAAGTTGGCAAAAAAGTTAGGTTTAGCTATCCTAAGCCTAACTGACTGCTAACCCTAACTTAAGCCTAAACAGCTATACCTTAGTATAGGGGAGAGCTAACTAAGCCTAATATTAGGCTTAACACTGTCAAACTGACAAAATACCTTGGTCAGGAGCACTAGATAGAATCTACTTACCTCGGCAGTGTCCAGACTCAGAATCCCTCATTAGTCTATTACTGTAATGTCAAATATTTGGATGAAAATCTCAGAAAAAGTTATTCAGCACTGTTTTGAGGAATGTTGCATTTATGTTTCAAATGGCACCAGGGATGATTGCTTGTGAGGAAGATATGAGTGTCAAATCCGGTGTCAATTCAGGAGAGCCTGATACAGATATTGAAGTTTTTAACTTTGATACCATGCAAAAGAGTGATACATAACTTACTTTACTTTGTAGTAAACAGTGAATGAATTTTTGTTGACAGAAGTGCTCTGTTGACATAAATTTGATTATCTGAATATAAGAAAAAAAATACTCTAAACAAAATAATTGAAAAGATAAATAAAAGTTACATAATACTAGTATAAGTAACTCTTTACTGTCATAACAATGTTCACTTAACAGTTCATAGTATATGTTCCCACTTAATGTTTATTGAACTTGTGTTTTTTAACTTCTTCACTTTCAATAATTCATTTTTAGACAGATCTTAAAATATTTTAAGATTAATGTAAGAAGAAATATTAAGAGAGTTAATATGATATTGATTAATGATAACTGTATAAGTTGTTTGAACTTAAATACATTGTTGTAACTTAACAATAAAATTTTTCTAAAAATTAATTAGGTCAATCCATTTAAAGACAGACTCTGTAAAGTGTTTTCTTCAGAAAATGATGACACAATGAGTTTTGAAGATTTTCTAGACATGATGTCAGTATTAAGCAATAGAGCTTGCAAAAGTATTAAAACTGAATATGCATTTAGAATTTATGGTAAGTAAGCAAATTAGTTAAATTAATTTTTCTATCTACTATTAAAGGCTTTGTAACTTTTCTCACTGCAATCAATGCTCTCTGTCCATTGCAGTCCCTTTTAATTGATAGTTTTGGAATTCCATGGAAACATTGACCTCTTCCAGATACTTTTTATTTGGTCTTCCTCCTCTTTTTCTTCTGAGAATTTTTCCTTCAAGGATAGTTTTTAGGAAAGTATTGCTTAATTAATAATATAGCCTATAAAATTTAATTTTCATTTTCCCTATTTCCTGTATTAACTTCCTTTGTTCTGTCATTTAATTCAGAATTGTTTCATTTGTTTTCCATTCAGTCCAGCTTATTTTGTTTACTCTTCTCCATATCCACATTTCTACAGCTTCCAGATGGGTTGTATCTTGCTTTCCTAGTAGCCAGCACTTACTTCCATACAGCAAAATGCTCTAGAGAAATGTCATAGTAAATGTTTTCTTTGCTTCCATACTTGCATGTCTTGATGTTAGCAGATTTCTTTTGTTTTGGGAAGCTTGTTTCATTGGTACTATTCTTTTTTTGATCTCCTGTATACATTTGTTACATAGGGAGTGAAATTACAGAAGATAAGTAAAATTTCTTATTTGTTCCACCTGTTTGTCAATCATGATGCTAGCTTTTGTCTTTTTGTTGTTGTTTTTACTAATATCACCTTTGTTTTCTTAATGTTTATCTTTACACTTCATTTAGTATACTAAGCATATGATTCACTTTGCTTTCTGAATTACTCCATGACATATCAGCAAATCTGATGCAGCATATCTTTTATTTATCATTATATCTTTTTGTCTTACTCTTCATCTTTTGTATAATCTCTTCAATGAACATGTTAAACAAATATGGAGAAAGTGCACAGCCCTGTCTTATACTCTTCTTTATCTTTACTTCGCTCTCTTTCCCATTGACATTTATATATGTATACTGGTCTTTGTATAACTGGTAAATTATCCTTTTATCCCTCCAATCTAAGTTTGCCGTCTTTTTAGTTTTAAACAGCAGATTCCATTTCACTATATTAAATACCTTCTCTAGATCTCTGAATGTGATATACACCGAAGAGCCATTACATTATGATCACCTCCCACCTAGAGTGGGAGCTCGTCTGGAGACAAAACAATGGCACTTGTGCGGCTCATATTGCCTTATATAAACAGCCAGTGAACTGTGTTTCCAAATGTAGAGTTTTTAGCTGTATCATGGGAAAAGCAGCAGATTTATAAGACTTCGATAAAGGGCAAATCGTTATGGCTAGGCGCCTGGGAACGTCAATCTCAGAAACGACATGATTGGTGGGCTGTTCACATGCAGTCATTGTTAGTACTTTTCAAAAGTGATGTACAAATGGAGAAACAAGAAGTCGATGGCCAGCTGTATGCCGGCTGTGGTGCATTGATTCCAGAGGAGAGCGAAGACTATTACTCATTGTTCACTGTGACTGAAAGGCTACAGCAGCCCAAATCACCAGTAGCTACAACAGTTGTGACCAAGACAATGTCTCACAGCACATAGTGCAGTGTACCCTTCTATGTATGAGCCTGTGTAGCCGCCAGACATTTGAGTCCATGCTTACAGCACGTCATCTACAACAGTGCCTGCAATGGGCCAGGGAGCATTGCAGTTGGACCTTAGAAGAATGGAAGAAAGTTGTCTGGTCCAATGAGTAAAGTTTTATGGTCAATCACATTGATGGTTGAGTGTGGATATGCCAATTTTCAAAGGAGATTATGGCAGCTGAATGCACAGTTGGAGAGATACAAGCCAGTGGAGGTGGTATTATGGTGTAGGTGATGTTTTCATGGGACACATAAGGACCTGTCATTGCCATAAAACAATCCTTGATGGCTGTGCACTATGTGAACATCATTGCAGATCAGGTTCACCCCTTCATGGCAACAATGTTCCTGGCGGGGATGGCTTGTATCAACAGGATAATGCACCATGTCATAAGGCCCGAATTGTCATGGAGTGGTGGAGGAACATTCCAGTGAATTTCAAGTCATGTTTTTTTATTCTTCTTTACACACCGGAATGTACTAAAAATAACTCATTACTTTGAATCTTGTAACTGGAGTGTATGTATAATACTAAAGCTAACGTTTTCGACGCCCTTTCTGGGCTCTTCCTCGGGCTTTTTTTTTTATAAATACTTAGCTGGACGTTGAAAATTGAACACTTTCTTTTGATTCGTTTACCTTTTGAATCATCGCACGTGGAAACTTTTGAGCAAAACGAAAAGAGTGCTGTTTTGCGTACCATGCATGCACGCTGCAGTACTTTCGTCATAAACTTTTAAACAATATCATCCATTGGGAACCGCCATGCTGTTGAAAGGGCTATCTCTTCTTTAAAATTGATGCATGTTGTATTGCGTCCTGCTCTAAATATCTCCATAGCTTCCAACCATTTAATATGTTTGGGGTGGGTGGTAGTAAGGATAATGTGTGCCGCGTCAAAGTCTGCCGTGATGTCCTTATCAGTCGCTGNAAGCAGCAATAAAATATTTACTACCATTTTGCACAACATACCTCTGCAAGAGTGGATTTTCAGCCAAGACAAACATGAAAACTAAACATCGTCACCGACTTCAACTCGAAGATGACTTGAGACTGAAGCTGACCAAAAAGCAACCAGAATTTACAAAGAAAATCGTGCACATTTGTCACATTAAAATTAAATAACCTTATGTTATTTTCATTATTATTAGAATTTTATTTTAAAGATAATAAATGTAAAACAACTTATTCTATTTATCACTAATTGTCTATCCACAGCTTCTCTTGCATTATATCGAATTTTCTTGTGGGAGTAAGATATTTTCTCGCAGTAAAATGTAGCCTATGTCCATCTCCAACATGTAAGCTATCTCTGTGCCAAATTTTATTAAAATCTGTTCAGCAGTTTAGACGTGAAAAGGTAACAGACAGACAGGAAGAATTACCTTTGAATTTATAATATTAGTATGGATTAATATGAATTTCTGCTATAAGGGGTACGCGAGTTTGAGCTCTTTCTTGAAGTGGTATGTAGGAAAAACTAATTGGGAACCACTGGTCTAAAAGAATCACTATCACTGTCGATATCTAATAATACTGTCTGAATTCTTGCCATCCTGCATTTACTTATTTTATTTGTCAACTTTTAACTCATCATCTCTAAATTATTACGTGCCTGTAAATATGTTGAATATGTTGTCTAAATAGTTGGAATTTCTCTTTTTTTCTCTAACAGCCTATATTTGAAATCCAAGAACTGAATCTACTGACTTTTAATCCCCCTTTCTAACCTGTTCCTAATTTTATTTGGCTCAACTTTAATCTCTATCTCATTAATAAACACAATATAAATTGTGAATAACATATATCATAGCTCCTTTCTCACTGCACTACAATAATTCACCTAATATTAATAAATAAAAAAATATGGGCTTAACCTTGATAAACTCCAAAGCCATCCTAAATCTTTTTGTGTAACACTTTGAATTTATCCTGTCTTAACACATGGTTTAACATTTCTATACATTTCCATAATTTAATGTATGTAATTCTCATCAACCCCTTTTCTTTTTGATTCAGAGTTCTCGAGAATTCTGAAGGCATCCTATATTAATAATGTATATACAGGCGTAACTATAAATTTTTTTACTACTTTTTCTTACTCTTAACGAAAACTTCCAAAAATATTTAAAAATGAACACACAATTGTAAGCAAAAAACAAAGAGTCTAATTAATTTAAAGTCTAAAATAGTGAAAGTGACAGTTAATATAAATATTAATGACATTTACGAATAAATAATGTTCAAAACCAGATTAAAATAGTATTTATAAGCAATCCTTTAAAATAGACAAAAGCATTATCTGAGTTAAAAACAAGAAAATTTCACATATTAAAATAATTTTGAATGTTTACAGCTGACTCTCCCCATGCTCAAGCTAAACTTATGCCTTGACACGATCAAAGTGTTTGAAGTGGCAGAAATATTTATTATGTCAGTATCATAGCATTGGAGCTATTGGCAATGCAAGGACCAGTATATCTATTGACTCTGCTGCTACTAGTAAATACTATAAATGAAAATGGCAGTGCTGCAACAGAGAAGGCATTTTGTGTTCTCAGTTGGCAAAGCTGGAATTGCTCATCATTGTGCAACACAAGTAATCTGTGGGATCTGTAGAATTGTGATAGGCATGGGAAAAGTAACAATGGATATGCTGTAGTGAGCATAGGAAGAATATCGGTGTAAAGCAATGGTTCTTAACCTTTCTAGTGGTTAGCACCCCCTTGAATCTGAAAATAACTCCTGCACCCCCTTAAAAAATGTGTGTATATTTTTTATTTAAGAAAAAACATTTATTGCATAAACAAATGCCATGTTTATTTACAATATATATTACTATAT